CCCCCCCCCCTTGCCCCTTAGCAACCCCGGGTTGATCCTTCCCGCTTCCCCTGTCAAATACGTGTGGTCCTATGATGCTAGCCCTCAGCATTCTGTTTCTGGCTCTACAAAAAAGAATAACGAATTTAGTTTAAACATAGGATTTTCCTTCATTAAGCCAGAGACACGTGTTTGCTTTCTGTGACTTAAACCTTCAGGGCACATTAGCTTTGTGTATGTACATGTACAAGCCATTACAGCCAAGAGGCTAAACAGCAAACCTCATTTTGAGAGGGAAGCTCAGACTCTTGCTTTATCCTGTGACTGTTGGAACTGTAACTTGAAAAAAGATCATAAATCACTTGATCTCTGGAGCTGGCAGTGCTGTTTGCTCCCTATAAAGTGCTTTGAGATCTTCAGCAAGACTTCACAAGCATTGATCTATGCAAAGGGTGATTACCGGATGATAGAAATCATAGCAAAGTGGGGCTAAAGGGATCTCCATAGGTCATTTAGTCCAGCCCCCAGCCTGAGGAAGGATAGTCCCTATCCAAGCCATTATATAAATCCATTTTCTAACCTGCATAGATTGAACCAATTTGGAAGTGAATAGACATTCCACTTTTGATTCTAGAAATACAGCCACATGTCTGCAGTGGCTCAGGCCAGAAGCCAGGGGGCACTAAAGCAGCCCCCTCCCTTCGCTTGGGCAGCAGCCTCAAGCCTGGAGGGAAGCTGACCTGCTTGCTTACATCCTCCATGCAAGGATGCGGTGGCGGTGGCAGTGGCTGCAGGCACACTAGCCCCTGTGGCAGGCAGCTGCTGGGCTTCAGGCCCGCCAGCATCTCCAAGCCAGCCCAGGCAGTCACAGGCGTGATGGACTCAACCCGTGCAACCAGTTCTGCTGCCAAGGCCCCTGCCTGCACCTGCAGTGGCATCACCTCCACGCTGCTGCCCAGGCTGGGCTATCATGGAGCCACAGCCAGCTGGGAAGGGCCCTGCCCCTGAAGCCCAGCCTGGGCTGGCTACACTACCCACCCACCCCACCTGGGGCTGAGCAAGGCCGGCTGTATCACAGGTGACAGATTCCTTGCAGGCACTGAGGCTCCATGACAGTACAGCCCGGCCTGAGCGTGGGGAGCCAGGAGCAATCGGCATGAACAATACATGACCCTGGAGACTGGGCGGGGGGCATGGTGACTGCCCGCAGGTGGCAGCAGGGGCGTGGTGACAGCGAAAGGGGAGCTCCCACAGGCACCCGCAACAATGTCAGCAGTGGGGAAAGTGGCGAGCGCCAACAAGCGGTCGGCGACCACCCACAGACGCCTCTGGCAGTGTCGCCAGCAGCGATCAGCAACTGCCCCACAGACGCCGCTGGCAGTGTCGACAGCAAGGGGAAGGGGTGGCGAGCAGTGACCGCCCACAGGCACCACTGGCAGTGGCCAATCGCAGGGGCTGCACCACCAATCTCAGGAAGTGCATGTGCACCCGCATGTACCCCTTATGCGTCAACAATGATTCCAGGTGCACGGCTCCCACAGTTCCAGCCTGAGCCACAGCTGACTGGGAAGGACCCTGCCCCGCACCCAGCCCGGGCCAGCCCCTCCACACCCACCCTCAGGAGTGCCTGCAGGCCAGCACAGCTTAGCCTTCCTGCCCTATCCCCAGCCTCAGCCCCAGGCAAGGCAGGAGGATGGCGGGGCCATGCCAGCCGGCACTGTCCACACCCTCCTCTCCTGCCGCTGGAGCCACAAGGGGTAGAGGACCCTGATGGGGCCTGCCCAGCCAGGCAGACCCCAGCTGTGATCCCCTGCCAGGAGAGGGGAGAAAGGGGGACTAGATCCCCTCCCTGCCCCTTCGCCTTCAGATGCCAGATGGCATGGCCCCCTGCCATGCCCCTGCGCCCTGCTCCAGCTAGACAGCAGAGAGGCGGGGCCAGCCCTGCTGTCTGCAGCAGACCGTATACCCTAACCCAGGGGTGGGCAAAATGCAGCCCGGGTGCTGGATGCGGCCCATCAGGCCATTCTATCTAGCCTACAGGATCCCTAAAAAATTTAGAAAATTAATATTTATCTGCCCTGGGCTGCCTGTCATGCAGCCCTCGATGGCTTGCCAAAATTCAGTAAGCGGCCCTCTGCCCAAAATAATTGCCCGCCCCTGCCCTAGCCCAAGGCTGAAAAGTATGCTGTTGGATGCTGAGGGACTCTGATTTAATTTAAATCAGGAAGGGGTCTGGGACAGAAGTTCCATAAACCAGTTTGACCCAAATCAGTTAAGTCTGATACTGCATTCAACCAGGTTTACCTTAAACCAGTTTTGGCCAGTTTGAAAGTGGTTTATGTGCACTGTGTGGCAGAAATGCCACTGTCGGTGCCCCTCTCCCGAGATCTGTCTCTACCAGCCTGAGAGGCAGCCGTTGAATCCCTCACAGCGGGGATCTCGCTCCTTGTCTGCAGACAAAAGCCTGGCACCTGGGAGGCGATGCTCTGGTCACCTGGGCAGGGGGGGGAAGACCCGGCCCTGTGCGCGGGCCCAGGTAGCCAGGGATGCTTTGTAGATTGGTCGGTTTGTAGC